GGTCCTTCAAGGTCATCCGTGACTCCATTCCAAGTTTGAGGCCAGCCTGGGCTACATGAGAACTTGTCTTCCCCCCAAAAAAGAAAAATTAAAATGAGCGTATTGGTTATCATACTGTTTTATTTTATTAAGTAGTTGCATCTGACACTATTTAGGAGCAAGTATTTGCCACAAAGATGGAGATGAAAGGTTGACAGGTACTTTTGCTTGGGGTTAGAAAAGAGCTGTAGGAAAAGTTTTTTGTCTCTGTGTGGTTTCACTGGCCCTTTCCCTTTTTTAGCTTCTGTTAGAGCTCAAAGGGATGGAAAAAGAATTTGCTATTCAGGATTATTTCCCATTGAATTTCATTGTTACCAGATCAGTAACATTGTTACTTGGGCCATCCTGGAAAGTCTTGGTTAGCATGACTATTACAGCACAGTGTTTTTCACCACAGGAATAGCCTTCCAATTTTCTTGGAAAGTAAGGAAACTGTTAGTAGAGAAAGAACTCATTAGAGTTATGTCCTCCAGAACTTTTTACATATCAGATGACCAGTACCATCAGTTGAATAAATTTAGCCTAGATAGATAGGAATTCCAGGATATGCATTGGAATGCAGATGGGCATTAATTATACTACTACTGCCACATTGAGAAGATGCAAAGTATCCAAGTGTGAGCAGTAAAACTGCAAACATAGCTCATGCTGCATATCCTGCTGAATTGGGTGGTTTCAAATCTTTCATACTTAGCACTGCTCTTGTCAGTGTATGAGGGTATGAATTGTGTTTATCTGTACTATTGATAATCATGGTTTGCTTAGACTTAAATGTGTTACACAATGCTCAGTTTATTAGCATTACTTGTTTTTATTAGTTGGAATTCTTTTCAGCATGATTCTGGCCACTATGTCCAGGTCACTCTATTTGTTGTTGTTGTTTGAAAGCACTTGCTTTGGGAAGTTGGTACATTTTGTTACTTTGTATACCCCATTGTATACAAGCTAATTTCTCACTGCCCGCAGCTCACTTGCTGTAATAGATAATAAAAAATGATAAATCTGAGTACAAGTTACCTGAGGAATTGGGTCTGCTGCTTGATCTTGTTTCCCTCCTGGCTCAGAACCAACGTGCAGCCTGCACAGTGCTGGAGTCCAAGAATTATGTTGTTCTGTCTTACACCGGAATGGGTTGCTGTGCAAGTGGCACAAACAGATTATCATAAACTGAGTCTGCATTATTGTTTTGCAATTTAATTTGACTTTTCAAAGGGCTTTTCCTTAGCTATAGATTGATTTATTTCAGGTCTTATAGGCAGCTGGTATGTTGCAGTACGGTAATTGCAGGGCAATGCTGCTATGTAGAATGTACCTGATTTCTTGCTGTTCATTTGGTTCAGGGCTGTCTCTTGTCTCTTGTACCAGATTTGCAAGAGGTAAGGGTTACTTGATTAAGTAGATTAGTAGCTTTTCCTAATTACTATATTTTATGTCCTTTATAATTAGAGTTACTGCTGCCAGAATTTGCTGTTTACAATTAAAAATTAACTGCATGGTGATGGTGATGAAGTACGTGGACCTAGCCTGAATTCTCTCTTCCCAGCTGTGTTCAGGGGTACAGTGCTATCTGCCTAGTGCTGACAGTTCCTGGAATACTGTGCTTAACCCCTCTACCTGGTCCATAGCAAACACTCAGAAAACCACTAGAAGTTGTTAGAAAAATACAAAGAGGTGGGGGGGGGGAGTTAGAAGGAGGAAGAGGCGTTAGGAGGAGGAGTTAGTTGTTGGAGTTGTTGTTGTTGTTACTTTTATTACTGTTGAGACAAGGTCTCATGCATCCCAGGCTGGATTCACACTCATTATGTAGCTGAGGGGATCACCTTGAATTTCTGATCTTCCTACTTCTGCCTCCCAAGTGCCAGGATTATAGGCATGAGCCATCATGTGCAATTACGTACTGCTGGGGATGGAGCCCAGGGCTTCATGCATGTTGCAGAAGCATTCTACAAACTGAGCTACATCCCCAGCCTCAAATATTAATTGGAGGCTTGCTAGTTATATACCACACTTCAGTGAATCTAAAATTATCATTATATTATGTTAGTAAAAATTATAACAATTTTAACTCATGTAAAAGTGTACATATTAGAATGAATATATGTTATGCTTTTAAAAATTGTGGTGCAATAAACTGGGTGTGGTGGTGCATGCCTTTTATCCCAGCACTCAGGAGGCAAAGGCAGGCCGATCTCTACGAGTTTGAGGCCAGCCTGGTCTACATAGTGAGTTCCAGGCCAGCTGGGGCTACAGGGAGACTCTCTCTCAGAAAGTAAATCTCTCTCTCTCTCTCACACACACACACACACACACTCTCTCTATATATATATATATGAGAGTTCATTAAATTGGGAGGGGAGCAGTGGGGAGAAGGGAATATATCTAAATGCCATCAAACTA